CCTTCAAAGCTCTCATAGCTAGAGGGATGACTGATTCAAAAGTAATAGTGAGTGCCATTAATATATATGTTAGTTGTTACATTAGATTAAGATAAAAGTAGATGAAACCTTTTTCTTGGTATGTGGAGCTGTTTAAGTAGAGTTCCAGAGATGATAAACTGGAGAAAATTAGAAGACTGACACAGAGGCCATGTCTTCCTCTACTCTTTGTCTTTGTTGGTATCTTCAAAACTTGCTGCTTATGACCTGTATGTACATGGAGAGATACATGAAAAATAATAAATTAACACAGCAAGGATTTTAATGTCTGGAGGTTAAGGACTGAATATCAGAAACAACACCAACTAAACCAACCTGTTTTGGGGTATGTGATTTTCTAGGAAACCATTTTAATATATGATATTTTATAGATAAAATTCAGGTATCTTGTATTGAAATAAATTCTACATATTTTTAAGGGCCTGAACGATCATATATTTGACTCAATGAAAGGATAATTTTCCAGTGTTCTTTTTTTTTAACCTAAGACCATATGTTATCAATCCTTTTTGAGTTGTTGTTTTGGTTGGAACGAAAGGTGATATGTATTGGTCATGAATATTAGATCACACGAAGTAGAAAAATCCAGATCTAAATTAAGAAGCCTCATGAATTTTAAAATTAGGAAAATAAAGTTCCAGTTATCTACTTTGAACTGTAATTTCTTTAATCTTTTCAAAGTAGCTTTGTCCTAAGAAACCCAGAGTACTTTACTTCAAACATAACTGAGTGAAGGTGAACTGTGATTATTATGAAACAAGAGCGGCATTTAGCACCCGAAAGTCTGACCTGAATTCTTCTCAACATTTCAGTAAATGTTCAAAGTAAGATTGCTTGACAAGCTTCATTACTTTTATGTGACTTCAAACATGAAATTAAAAATAAAATGATGGAATTCTGAATGAGTGTAAGTAAGGAGATTTCTTGAGGTGCAAAACATGAGGTTTTTATAAATTAAACATCCACTTTCTTTAACTCATTATTCTGCAGAGTATGTGTCAAACAGGCCAGCTCTTTAGATCATTCAACTAATTTTTCCTTCTCTATTCTATCTGCTTAATCCTGAGGCATAACTTGGATGTTACCCAAGGGCATGCTGAGGTTCCAGAAAAGCTCTAAATTTGGGTTATACAATGAATATCTCATTAAATAATAATATATAGACTTTCACATGGAAACACAAAATACTTAGGTGTCCTATTGTCAAGGTCAGGTTCATTTACATATTATTTATGTCACTAAGTTTTCCCTATTGGTATTTTCAAAACTTCCTGCTTATGACCTTGATACACATAGAGAGAAAGGAGATGTAAAAAATGATAGAATAAGAATACAGCAAGGAATTTAATATCTAATATTTAATATTTAATGGACTTGAAGGACAACTGAATATCAGAAATAGCAACAACAAGCCGGCGCCGTGGCTCAATAGGCTAATCCTCCACCTTGCGGCGCCGGCACACCGGGTTCTAGTCCCGGTCGGGGCGCCGGATTCTGTCCCGGTTGCCCCTCTTCCAGGCCAGCTCTCTGCTATGGCCAGGGAGTGCAGTGGAGGATGGCCCAGGTGCTTGAGCCCTGCACCCCATGGGAGACCAGGAAAAGCACTTGGATCCTGGCTCCTGCCATCGGATCAGCGCGGTGCGCCGGCTGCAGCGGCGGCCATTGGAGGGTGAACCAACGGCAAAGGAAGACCTTTCTCTCTGTCTCTCTCTCTCACTGTCCACTCTGCCTGTCAAAAATAAAAAAAAAAAAAATAATAATAATATTAGAGAAATAGCAACAACAAAAACAAGCTTGTGTGTGTGTGTCCTAGGAAACTATTTCAATATATGACATTACAGAGGTGATCATTTCTACTCAAAATGCAGGTATCTTGTATTGAAATGAAGTCTACATATTTATTTTTCCATGTCAATAGAAGAGTTTTGGTTTCAGAGATTAGTTAATTGAACTGTGACATTATATAGACTGAAGTGAAGAGATAGGATTGAATACTGGTTTAGTGGATACTGAAGAATATGAAGTGAATTATAAACAAAAAGGTACAAAAGTAAATAGGTAATTTCACATTTTAAAATAAATTTCAACAATTTGCACATTTAAAAATATTAAAAATTCTAGAAATATCACAAAATCTATAGAATAATACTTTGAAAAATTAATTGCCTAACATGTCAATGTACCTCTTTTACTATTTTATTTTTATATATTTATTTATTTTTTTGGTTGAAAACCCTTAGTGCCTGAGAATATGATGCCTGTTTGGAGAAAGGGTCTTTAAAGAGATAGTTAAACTAAAGTGAAGCTTCCAGAATGGCACCCAATACAATCTGACTGTATTCTTAGAAAAAGGAGAAATTTGGAAATATATATATTTTTTGACAGGTAGAGTTAGACAGTGAGAGAGAGAAACAGAGAGAAAGGTCTTCCTTTTGTTGTTTCGTTCCCCAAATGGCTGCTATGGCCAGTGCTACGCCGATCCGAAGCCAGGAGCCAGGTGCTCCCTACTGGTCTCCCTTGCAGGTGCAGGGCCCAAGCACTTGGGCCATCCTCCATGCCTTCCTGGGTCGCAACAGAGAGCTGGATTGGAAGAAGAGCAACCGGGACAGAACTGGCACCCTGACCGGGACTAGAACCTGGAGTACCGGCACCACAGGTGGAGGATTAGCCTATTAGCTGTGGCACCAGCCGAAATTTGGAAATACGAAGTAATACCAAGGGCCATTCCCTTACAGAAGGAAGATTATGTGAAGACAGAGCAAAGAAGTGGCCAGCTACAAGCCAAAGAATGGAGCCTCAGGAGAAATCTCCTGACACCTTAATCTTGGACTTTTAACCACCAGAATTGTGAAAAAATAATTTTTTGTTATTTAAGTCACCTGATCTGTGGTACATGGTTGGCACTACAAATCTATGGATCTATCCACATTCATGAATTCAGGTAGCTAAAGATTGATAATATTTTATCAAAAACAATCTTACCAGTACCAAACATGTACAGATCTTTTTGGTAATTGTTGTCTAAATAATACAACACATCTTTACAGAGCATCTACATTGCATTAGCTATTATAAGTAATCTAGAGATGATGTGAAGTATATGGGAAGCTTGCATAGGTTATATGCAGATTCTGTATATTTTATAAAACTGACTTGAGAATCTATGGATTCGGGTTTTTACAGGGGTTCTGCACCCAATCCACCATGGATTTGAGGAATAACAGTGTTCTGTGATGGCAAACCTAACAAATTAATATAATGCCTCTCCCAACTACATATTAAAATATTTTCATAATATTTGCTATAGAAAAAGTAAATAATTTAGTCTTTCCTCTGGTATGATTGATTGAAACATATTTTAAAATTATTGGGATCCATAAGGTATAATTTCACACACACATATACTCACTCACTTTTTATACTACTACTAGAGATTTTTAACTAGCAAAGCAATTATGGTAAGTTCTATATTATCCAACCACCAATCCCCCAAAAATAGGCTTTGTAATTGAGTATGCTACATTATTAAGTTACTGGTGACAGGATATCTTCAGTTTTGCCCGTGTGTTGTTGAATTTTCCATTTGTAGTTTCACACTGAATGTTTGATAATGAAAGAATTTTCCAAGGGCAAATTTTTGGCTCCATTCATTTTCAGCCTTATTTCTATAGACTGAATACTTCCAGTGCCAGATATCAAAAGGGCACATGTTTATTATATGTAATGTTTTTCCAAGCTTTTGTTTCAAGGCTAATGTGGACTATTGGACAGTAGGAGTATTCTTGGGAGCCATTTTTACAGTAGGTTGGCTAAGATTATAGAGGTTGCTAGAAATCATTTCATTATATCCTGAAAGGAATTTCTTTTTCTTCTTCCCATTAGCCAAATTCCTACAATATTTAGACTCCCACTTCAGTGCCAGTTGATTTGAGGGGAGGTGTGACAGCAATTATAATGCATTTCAGTTAAAATATCTTTTGTAGATTTTTGGAAAATATAAGTATAGATACATTTTCAGGACCTTTCCTAGGATCTAGGAAGGATCCTTGAACCTAAGCATTTTTAAATTCAGGTAAGATGATTTCTGGGCCTCAAGTCGTTTGCCTAAATTCACATTAGAGTTAATGAGAACACTACCCTAGACTGCTTTCTCATGTTGTTTTCTTTTTCTTTAGGAAAGCATTGGATTTTTGCATTTTTTACTCCTCATGTGTAAATGTCATATAGCCATTAATTTCAATTATATAGTAATTAAATATTGATATTAAGGATTTTGCAATGCCAAAAGAAAGTAGAGTCTTAGAACATTTGCATTGTTAGATTATTGTTTACATTGCGCTGTTGAGCTAAGGTCTGTGCTTAAAAGAGAAAGTAAACATTTGAGGTTGAAAGGCTTACAGGTAGTAAAATGAAAAATCAAATAATAGCACGACTACTGACATCTGAAAATGTGTAGCTTTCTGAATTGTCCTTTATTCTGTCGTTATTCACCAATCTATCTTTTTGGCTATGAAATCATTCAAATGCTAGACTTACTTTGTGAATTCAAGTTTTGCTTCAGAATACAAATTTTCATTTTAAACTCTAAGATTTTAAAAACAATGTGGGATCTTGAAATAACTAAGAGAATCATTTTTAAACTATTGTATGCTCCATAATTTCTTTCAGTTTGTGAACTTCATGACCCCTTTGTATAAAATTACTTAGGAGAAAGCTGTGTTGCTCTTGACAATGTAAAAAATATAATTTATTTATTCGACACCATAATAATCTTGTAGTTTCTAATTGAGGAAGTGAAGGTTTTGTGAGACTTAGAATATTAAGGACTTGATATAAGAGGAGATACCTAAATAGTATAGCATTGCTATTATTTCAGAGCTTCCTTTGTTAAATATTTTGTATATATAAGCTTTTTTATTTTTTGAGACAACTCTAAGTAGTATTTTCATCTCTATTTGCAGAGAGGAGATCAACCCCAGAAGAGTTAAGTGACTTGTACAAAGGTACTGAAACCCAGATCTTTCTGACTTCCAAACTCATGGGTTAACCTTTGCCCCATAATGTCCTTTGTCTTTGACTTGAATCAGTGACTGCTGTAAGAAGATGCACACCAGAGAAAAACCCTAAACCATACACTGATAAAAATTCTAGTCATTCCATTGCCTTCTAAAGAATGCAGGGCTTTCTGACACGGTGATCAGAGGAAAAACACAGAATGCAGGTATTACAAAGTTCTGCTTGAAAACCATCAGTACCATAAACTTGCCACATTTACTTATTCCAAACTAATCTTAAACCAAAAAAAAAAAAAAACAAAAACATGAAACGTATCTATTGAACTAAAAACCTGCACATAGTGAATTTTCATGGGATTTGTTGAGCTTGCATAATTGAAGTTACAAAAGAACTACTTTTGATGTCTGTTTCTTTTTTTCATTCTCTGCATTCTGAAATGGTAACAGCATGCTAGAATACATGAAAACTAGGAGAGAAGAATATTCCTATTTTTGACCCGACATTACCGTCTTATGAAACATTGGGTAAAGAGAGGGTATAAGGGAAGTATCACTATATTCTTAGAATATTCTATTCTCTTTTTATTAATATCACATTAACATGAGAATTCTGTTGTAGTAATTCTCATGCATTTGATGTAACCCTGAGAATTTAATGTATTAATAAATTCCTTAAAATAAAGAAAAAAAATTGGGGCTGGTATCATGGTGTAACAGGTAAAGCTGCCACCAGCATTGCTGATATCCCATATAGGCACCATATAGGCACCACCTTGCTGCTGCACTTCCAATCCAGCTCCCTGCTAATGCCTTGGGAAAAACTAGTGGAAGATGGCCAAAGTACTTTGGCCCCTGCCACCAATGTCAGAGACCTGGAAGAAGCTCTTGCTCTTGGCTTCTGCCTGGCCTAACCTGGGGCATTGTAGCCATCTGGGTAGTGAACCAGCAGATGAAAGATCACTTTTCTCTCTCTCTGTCTCTCCTTCTGTGTCGGTAATTCTGACTTTCAGATAAATAATCTTAAATAATACATAAAATAAATAAATAAAAATTTTCAAAAAATTAAAAATATTTTTAAATGTTATATGTCCAATCCCATTACTCAACAGTTGCTGTTGAATGGGCAACACAGGCCAGTATTATAGAATTAAAAAAAAAAAAACTAATCTGAAATCAAAAACAACTCCAAACATTTGAGCTTTTTTTCTCTTGTAGTAAAATAATCCAGATTTATGTGAACAGAAATAAGTAGTTGCAATACCAGTTACACAATATGAAAAGCTACCATAGGTGTAGGTGTTTGGTGCAATGGTTAAGATACTCACATACCATATCATAGTTTTGAGTCAACTCTGCTTCCTGTCTGGTTTCCTGCTAACAGGCACTCTAGGAGGGAACAGGTGGTATCCCAAGTACTTAGGTCCCTGCCACTCATGTGGGAGACTTGCGTTTTATGTTCCTGGTTTCAACCTGGCCCAGCCCTACTTGTTGTGTGCTTTTGGGAAGTAGATCACAAGATTGAAGACCTATCTCTGTATCTTTTTCTCTGCTTTTCAAACAAATACACATTTTTTTTAAAATACCTTTTTTTTTTTTTTAAATAAGAGCAGGTGTACCATGAACACTATATAATTGAATTTAATAATAGATTACACTGGTTTAATAGTAGAAACTCTTTTTCTAACTAGAGGTCTTTTCTTAATGCAGAAAAATGCTGGGTTAAAGTATGATAGAGGGCATCGCAAATTCTTTTAGAGTCCATCATAAAATGTGCTAAAGATTGTCTTATCTAGAAAAGAATACACTGTATTTTACCTCAATACTTTCTAAAATATATATTCAGAAAAAGATTTATTCTCATCACAGTTGGTGCAAAGTAAATATATTCCTATTTACATTCAAGTCTTTCTCTTCTGTTGTATGATTTATGATCTCCAACATTAGACTTACTGTAACCTGACAGTTCTTTTTCTTCTTGTGATATTTAATGAAATATGTTCTTTGAATTTTACTTTCTGGTTGACACCCCAAGCCATATACTCTATATTGCTTTGGTAGATACCCTTTATCCTGCTGAAGTATCATTAATTGTAAACCAAGCTAGCTTCTTCTAATCTTTTAAAAAGGGCTATTAGTCTCTTTATTCATTGAATCTTTGCCCAGATAACTCTTCTACCTCTGAGTGAGATCTAATCATCTTCTCCTTCTTCTGGAATCTTGCTTACACAACCAATCTGTCCTTGATCCGTTGGCATTTTTAGCCTTCCTACATCTAAACTGAAATTTCCACATCCCAATATTTTCCAGCATTACTACCATCTGAGGGGTTGGTCTATACTAGTGTTTCTCTACTTCACTTCCTAAACCTAGTTGTCTGAATTATTTCATGAACTGATGATTTTTTGCTCCTTCACAATGTGATTTCTGCCTTTTCACTACTTTACTGAAACTATTACCATCTAATGGCTCAATGAAATGACCTCCATTTTCTCTTATAATGTTTGGCAACATTGATCAGCTCCTCTAACCCATCCTAAACGCTATCCTCCCATTGGTTTCTGCAATGCAGTTTATCTTGGTTATCCTTAGTGTGGTCAGGCTTGGTTTCTTGGTTGCCCTTACTTCTCATGTTCACCAAGTATATGAAATAATTCTTGAAGAATTTATCATCAGATCCTTTCTTTCATTGAATATCAAATTAATGGTAAATCCAAGCTCAATGTCCATGGATTCTAGGGATCTCCATGAACTAGTCTTGGCCTACTTTCTCACCTCAACTTATACATAATAGTTCTCTTGTTCATCAGCAAATGCTTCCATCATTTGGGGCTTCTCTGTGTTCCAAGAACCACATGTGTTTTTCCCCCCATCTGTAAATAGTTGTTCCCATGTTGGGTATACAATACCTGGCTATTCACATGCTGAACTCATTCTGCAGGGGTCAATTCACATTACTACACTAAATAGAACAGGTTTACTTTCCTGCTTCCTAGTGATATCAGGTATAAAATGGAGCTTGTGCTGGATACTGTCTTGGGTTGGTTTTATGCCTTAATTTTGACAGGTATCTAAATTGACTCAAATGAGAGAATTAAAAAACTGCCATAGTGGCTATCAAATGAGATATCTTCCAGTATTCCTCCATCAACCATATATCTTTCAGATGGTAAATTATATGTGTGTTTTTCCACAATTAAAATATTAAAATTAAAATATTAAAAATCTTTTAAATAATGAATTTTCATATTCTCAGATTCAATACAAATGATGTTTTGTGTTACTGTCAGACTGATTAGAAATTATATTAATCCAGATGAGTCCTCACAAGTTCAGAGTCACCAGAAATGACACTGTGTTACCAACCAGAAAATCAGTCTTCTAAAACCAGAACCTGAAGCTAAAGCCAAACAGCAAGTTTGGTCCAAAATTCTAGGTCAATGTCAAACTTCAGTACAAGTCTAAAAAGATGATTCTTAAAGCCTTATGTCAATTGTGAGAATATCAGAAACTTTTCAAGACAGACAAAACATTTTAGCTAATATGACCCTTTTTGCATCCCTCAGTCCACACATAGGTATTGTTTAGGCTTGTGCTCATTTCTTTAACAGAACAGGGCCTGCAGGTTTTTACTGTCTCACAAACTGGATAAACTTTGCTTCCTGAAAAGTGGCATTAAAGATTACTGAAGGAGACAGTGTTGGTTCTCAGAATCAGTATACCATGTCCAGTGTTCTCATGTCTTGGAATTGTTACACTGTGATGGACATTGCTTTCTGCAAAACAAGGCATTAGAAAATTATTAAATAACATATTTGTTGACCTGATCATTTGAGTACTAATAAAACACAGGTTGATCTTGTGGGTTGTGTTAGCCATCACTAATTCTCATTACTCAAAACAGTAAAGATGTGGTGTGCTTTGAGAAGTCTTTGAACTTCTCCAAATCACCTTTATTTTCCCCTGTGAATATTCATCAACATCCAAAACTTAGAGGCACTGCTACTCTGACTCACTCCAATAAAAAGATGCTAAATAAGGTTTTTTGATCATGCTAATAATGAAAAACTTTGGGAGCTAAGAATAGCCAGGTGAGATAATCCCAGATGGTGGGTATAACTTCCTTTCCAGGATAAATGAAGAAAAGTATAAAAATGATGAAATTGGCTTACATGCAAAGAACAATGTAGCTTCATCGTGATCTCCACCTTGTACATTTCAACATAAATTTTATCATAAACTCTAACTGTGCAGCTGAAAAGCTTCTATTTTTACTGAATACCAAAAATATCACCAAATGATATTCATGTGATAAAACTAAATATATCAAATTGTCAGAACAGATATGGACAAAGAAATACTTTCTTTCCAGCCTATGAAGCATGAATACTGATGGCCACCAAAACATAAGAAAAGTGCTGACACCGGATTCCTACTGGATATCATTGCACCAAAAAGTGTGGGAAAGATCCACGATTGTGAAAATATAGCAGAATTGTATTCCTTTCATATTTAAGCATTGATTGTACTGAACACAGTTTTGTGGCCTCAGATGAGTGAGTTGTTTTTAAGAGCAATTTAATTTCAAACTATAGCTCTATTTGCTCTTCAAAAGTATCAATTTTCAGTAAAAATAACTATCAGTTTTCAGTAAAGAAGATGTAGAAGGAGAGGAAAACAAAGGCTATTCTTTATTCCATATTTGGTTATAAAAATAACATATTCCAAAGAAAACTAGTATAAACAGTTTCTAAAACTGCATAAATTATTCACAAGCCAGTGAAATTAGGTAAAGAAATTTAAACCACACCAATACTGTTGGTAAATATACTGTGTCCTAGAGAATGACTATTAAAGGTCAAACTGGAAAAAAAAGGGACTTAACTATTTAGCTTTATTAATATTTTTTGGGGGGGTGGAGAGAGAGAGAGAGAGAGAAAGAGAGAGAGAATGAATCATCTATTGCTTATTCATTTCCCAAATGGCTGTAA